ACAGCACTTCGTATGATCTTTTTGAACATGAATTTATTTAGAAAATACTAGTTCAACATACCATGCAACTCTAATTGCAATTGAAGATTTTCAAGTTTTTCTAATGCAAAATCTGTTTGAAATTGTTTAGTTCATAGAAGATTCTCCATACAACACCATCAGAGTAGCATCTTAGATTGTTGATTTAACTGTAGAAAGAGCAACAATTTCTAGGGTTTTTTTCATCATTTCAACAATTCTCACTAGCAAAACTATCATTTTTTTGCAACATAAAATAATGGTGCTTATTTTCTTTAAGCTCGGAATCATGCCTCTCCACGTCTTCCTTTTGCTCCAAGATGACTTTTGAAATAAAAAACTTATAAATTGGATAAGTTCACTTTGAATTCTAGATTCTACAGATCTCAAGTCAAAATGTGTTTTTCTCCTTGATAGAACATCAACATCTACAATACACTTTAAATCCATCTTGTTCATGCAAGATGCTTCATCCACAACTCAAGAAGCATAATCTTTGGATTGTTAGAGAGTTAACAACCGAAAGAGCACCTACATTATTTAATGGCAAGGTAATCTGCTAGCTGCACCATTTTCATGGATTCATTCATTCCTTGAGTATCTGAAACTTTACTAGTTCTCGTGGGAGAAACATCCATTATTTGTTTCCATTAGAAGTCCCAATTTTCTTTTTGGTTCCTAATTGCTTCAAGAAATATTGATTGAACATTGTTCCACCCTATCTTTATTCTTCCCTTCCACTAATGCATCTTCATCATCTCTACTCGAATCTTTATGTTGCTATTGTCATTCTTCCAAATATTTTTCTGAACTAATCTTTCAATTTGAAATTCTGATTCTTCTTGTTAGATTTTGGTCCCATGACAGTAAAGAACAAGAATGAAAAATGGGTCCCATTGTCTAGTCTTTTAGTCAAGGGCATTTTGGTTCCAGAAAAACAAAAAGATCTCCCACTCACTCTTATTGCAATTTTTTTCAAAACGTATCTGATTTTGTCAATTGACCAAACTTTGTCATTTTTCCTACAAAATGCCCTTTTTAATTCTTATTTATTATAAACTTTAATCAATATTAAGAATTAAATTAAAGGTTAAACATTTAATACTTCTATTACTATAAATAATCATTTTATATGTATGCATATTTTATATTCTAGTTTGTTCTTTTGTTTTTATTTCTTTAATAGAAGCTCCAACTTTAGCCCAAAATAAAGCAGTTTTTATGGAGATGTTGCACAAATAGCTTAGTAGTCCGTAGTAACCTTTTTAGCAGAAATATAATCAAATCTCCTATTTATTTAGGATGTGAAAAGGATGAAAAGTCAGTTATGTATATATATATATATATATATATATATATATAAAGCCAGATGTATTTGGTTTGGTTTGGGAGTGGGTCTTAGAGCTAATGATATAGATGATAGAACCTCTTTCGATTGTTGACTTGAATCTTTACTTCTAAACAAGAGGCTTCTACTTGAGGGTTTTGTTCAAAAAACCATTTTGTGTTTGTGGGAATTATGGAAAGGTTGTAACTCTTTTATTTTGAAGAAGCAAATTTAGATCCTCACAAGGTGATTTGTTCTATAAAAAATCAATAGTAGAGACATCTCTAGCATTGCCTCAGAATTTGGGAAGCTATTCAAAATCTGAAAAGGAAGTCGTGTCCTCCACGGAAATTGGGCTCCTTGAGTATAGATGTGGATGGCGGCTTTTTGTCTCTAAATAAAGGTTCTTTTGGTTTTTTCACAAGAGACAGTGAATGTTCTTGTTGGTGGGCGGGTTGTGGATCTTTTGTGGCATCCTCCCCTCTTTTTGCAAAAGCTCTTGCCCTCTTTAAGGCCCTAAAAGCTTTATTGAGGAAATGTTTGTCTAATCTGGTTGTGGACCTTGATTGCCTAAAGCTAGTAAGGCTTCTCTCAAATTTAGAAAAGCTTTTTCACCAGGAGTTGTGTTTTATTAGAAATGATATTTTGAAGCTAAATGAGACCCTATCTACTCGTTTTTGTTGGGTCCTTCATGAAGCTAATGTGGCTACCCACAATCTAGCCAAGAAGGGCTTTGAAAGCTCTTGCTAGATGGATTCAGAATTTCCCATCTAGTTTTCTTTAGTTTTAAATTATGGTTTAGTTTTCTTTTGTTTGGTGTCTTAGTTTTCTTTGCAATTGGTTTTTCTTTTTGTTTTTTTTTTGGAGGTTTGCTCCTGTTTTCGGTAGGTGTTTGGTTGTTGTTTTTCCTTTTTCTAGGTTCTGGTTTGTCTTGTTGTTTCTGGTTTCTATTTTCTGAACAAAGATTTCTTTTTACCAAAAAAAAAAAAACAACACTTGGCCTCCGTCAACATTAGGGATGGTTCCAACAACATAGAGCACTCAACTAAAGGTAGTATTGGTATTACAATTTTTTAGCTTTTTTATAGAGAGAAAATTCTATACATTAAATTAATATAAACCAAATTTGAAGTTTCAATAACACATAAACTTGTGGGACATCCCAAATGTCCACCACAAATTTATGAGTTCTTAGTAGGGATGGCAACGAGGCGGGTTTGAGGAGGGTTTTGTAAATTCTAAGCTCTACCCACCTCCCTAAACCTCCCAACCTGTACCTATCCAAAACCTGAAGCAGGTTGGATTTTGAGAATCCAAACCCTTCCCATACATGAAAATGCAAAACCCTCCCCGACCCTACCCGCCTCACATTCAAGGGTAGGGCAGTTACGTTATAACCTGCATCTAATTTCCTATAATTTCTTGTCATATATAAGCAATAAATAAGTAAAATAACACAAATAAACAATAAAATTTTCAATTATTTGATTAAGACATGTAAAAAATATATAAACTAATCAATTTATCCTTTACATAAAATTCAAAATATTATTAAATTCAAACACCTAGTACATAAAGTTTATATACTTTCCATCAATATGCGAGTTAGGGAGGGGCGGGTTTAGCCTAATAACATACCATACCCATACCCGCATGGGTTGTAGAATCCCAAAACCTGTTCCCACCCTAAAATTCACCATTCAAGCAAAAAAAACCCGTCCTATCAAGGAGGGTAAGGGCGGGTATCCCACTGGGTAGGGTAGAAATTGCCATCTCTAGTTCTTAGACACCTTAATTGAGGGGCTCACACTCACAATGTCAAAAGCATGACTGAATTAAACCTTGAGTTAAACCAGCTCGATCTCCATAGGGACTATATTCTACTTTAATATGAACATCATTCTTGGTGACAAATTAGTGGTATATAAACAATGGTTATCATACAATTTTTGGAATTCAATGAAAGGAAATAATAAACACCTCATTTTTTTCAAATCTTCTATAACAACTCTATGAACACTAGTCAAAATCTTGAGATTGTGATTTTTTTCTCAATTTTGAAAAGGACTACAAAACTTGAGAAAATGAGCATAATCATGAAAATGTTAATCCCACAGGGCCACACCATCCATCATTGAATGAGAATAGTTCGCCCTAGTGTGGAATTGGGATCTCTTGCCAACAAAACATGTTCCAACACCCTACCAACATGATCCGACAGGATACATATTCTTATTATAAAAATGGGATTCACTCTATAAAAGTGGGACCCGACATGCAGAGATGTTCTCGTTATCAAAATGGGATTCACTATAAAAATAGGACCCGCCATGCAGAGATATGCAGTGTGACGTGATGTTGATAGGGCGTTGGAACGTCCTTCGTTTCGTTGGCAGCTGATCCAGATTTCCAAGCGTGAGGACAAAAGCGGTTAAATGTTGTTAGACAAACATCGTAAATATTCGTAATCAATCGTCTCTCGTTTAAACATTGGCGCAGACAACTCTGACGTGGATTTATTGTCCCAGCTGGTCCAATAAAAATCTTGGGACGGTCCTTGAATGAGCGAAAGAGAATCTACCAAGGTTCTTGAGATCTCTTCCGTGCAATCCGGATCCAGGTAATTAGGAACACATCCTCACAGATCAAAACCGTTGATATGGAAGCACATTCTCTGAATATGCAACGTAACGTAAAAAACTTGGATGAGTGACACGTGGATAATTGGATAGGTGGATGTGGATTTAATGCGGGGTAATTTATTGCCAGCTGTTCTCGTCCCGTCACTTCTTTATTGTTTTGTCCACGTCAGCCGACGGGTGACTAAGCAGTGGGGGACGCTCTAATTCCCGTTCCTGCAAACCCCGTTTTCATATCGGGTTCCTCCTGTTCGGGTTCTATCGCTCTGTCCTCACGAGCGCCGAGTGTTTCGAAGCTACTGTGGTTTCAGAAGATCCATCTAATCCAACACGATTCAAGTCCTAACCCAAATCGAGTTCTAAATCGAACTCCAAAGAAAGAAGAAGAGAATTCTTGTTCTGTAACTCCTTACCCTCATTCCGTTGAATCTCTGCAGTAGATGTAAGCTCTAACCCTAATTTTCTCCTGTTCTTTCTCTTTCAAGTTTAAGATCTCCGTCTAGGTTTAGAAATCTTTGGTTCGGATATGTTTGCATCCTCTGCATGTGGTTCTGCAGATTATACTGTTTGGAGGTGTGCTTTGGTGGAGTAGATGCGAAATTCTGTTGTTGAAATGTTTCGTGTGGAAGAACCAGATTCAGAGTAAATCTGGACTTGGGTTGTTGAATATTTTCATTTTGTGGAATTGTGGGTCGTTTGATCTGATTTGGGCATTCTGAGGTACTGGATGCTTGGTAGAGGCTGACTTCAGTTAGAGTTCATTTTCTTTTTAAAGTTCAGTTTTCCCCCCTTTTCCTTTTCTTGTGATCCGGAAGTTACCGAGGGTTTTGTTCGTGGTTCATGTGGATAACAGGTTTTTTGTGTTCAAAGTTCTGATCCGATACCTGCAGGGTTGTAAATGGTGCGGGTCGACCCACTGGCTTTGGATCGGAACTGCCATGGATTGGATTTAGGGTTTTGATCTGGGTGGTAGGATATAGATTGGAACCCTAACCGGTTTCAGTTCTGATCCACTTACGAACTTCAAATATCCAATCCAACTATCTTTACCCCTCCATTGTCCAAACTTGATAGGTCGACGGATGTCTCTTACAATCACTTCCGGTGTTCATTTCAGATATATGATTGGTTAGGCTACAGTTTCACTAAACTGGCGTGAGTGGCGTCCGCCTAATAATGAAGTCACTGCTGGGCTGACCCAGACCCATTTTCCAGAGACTAGTCAATTCTTGTGAAGCACGTCTGGATTTCTGAAGTGAACTCTTGATATTTTCTGATTGCATGTTCTATAAGTTTGTCAAATTTTATGGTCTTTTGAGATTTTATTGTAGTCATTCAACTTCTCAAATGGTTAATTGCTTGAGTTAGGATTCAACTTCACCTTTTTTTTGGAGTATCATCTGTAGAATTTCAGTAAGTTAAGTTACCTCCCTTTTTTTTCCTTTTGTTTCAGTTCCATCTTGAATGCAATTAGTAATTTGTGCACTAGGTATTGATCAGTTCTCCTGACCATTCTAGACAAGCTAAAACTTATTCCTTCTCGAATTGGTTATTCCTCGCTTCTGTTGCTTTAGTTCCTCTTGGGTCTAGTTTGTTTGTAAACCTGTACTATTCTATAGTATAGATGGAAAGAATGAAATGTGCTATTATTGTTTCTTTCTACCGTTGGCTCTCTTTAGTTTGTTTATGATGCACTGCTGCTGTAAAGGCATTTTCCTTAACATCTTTAAGTTTCTATGCAGTAATTATAAAATGTCCACCATAGGCAAGGGAATCTTTGTATTGGGGATTGGGATGCCAGGATAGTTTTTCCTACATAGAATATATGGTGTTTGTATGGGTCAATCCAAGATGGTTATTTTGACTGTTTAAGGATTTTCTGTTTTATCTTATGTCTTACAATCAGTCCCTTCTGAAAAGGAGCAAGGTTTTGTGCTTCTCAGACTTCCATACTAATAGAAGCTTTTGCTTTTCTTACGGATCAAGACAATGGTCTAGTTGGTGTCTTAAAATTTCTTAGACTAGAACACAAGCACACACTTGCACACTGTTTTCCCCCGGGGGAGGTGATATAATCTCGCTGAAAAAAATTTTGGGTGGACGGATGGAAAGGTAATTGATGAGTACATTGGGTAATAATTACTAAAATGAGAAGTGAGACTAGAAGAAAAGCAGAAAACAAGAATGTTGAAGCAAGTTGCTACATTGTGTCTAGCGACTTGATTAATTTTGTTTGGTTTTGCATATTTCTTTTTTTTTTTTGTTTTTGTTTTTATAGCAACTGGAACTTTGATGGTTCTATGTATAAAAAAGTCACAAATTTCCCCTTAATTCTTTATTAACAGTTCAAATCTCTCTACCATCGAATTATGGCTAAGATAGATTTATCAAAAAAAAAGGCTATGATAGGAGATTTTTAGATTTTTTTATTGTGTGAACCTTGCTTATGGTATTGTCTACTAGCACATTTATATTTGTGAGGTCCTTGAAACACCTATTTGACATACCTATGATGAAAAACAAATTTGTGTCATTGAATATCTTTCACAGTTTCACCATTCCCTTTAATGTTGTCAATGTTTAATATTTTTTCTGGGGAATTTTTGAACCTTCTATAACTCATATTAACCGGTTTTCCACATTCTTAGAAAGGATAGAGATAGGGTATAGATGAAACCTTTCATTTTTCTTTGCAATGAACTTATTGTTAAGACGATACCGGTAGTTCTCACTATACTTTCATCTTGTAAACATCCATTTGCAGCTTTGGAAAGCCCATAGGTTTTGCATTAGCTCTATTTCCATATCCTGCAACTTCGTTTCCATTTTTCTGAGCTTGTGTTCCACATCTGCAGAACTCATTTGATGGACAAGCATTTTTTTCTTTTTAATGATCAGTAACCAACAACAGTATAGAGGTGACAAGTAATAATAAATATAGTGCCCTCATCACTTAATGTGAGTTAAGTAAAGGAGACCAAAATATACAGCTGAAAACTGGTGAAGAACAATTGTAAACAGAAAAAACACCTTCTTACCGCATACTGGAGCAAGGAGCCCTCCCCCCCACCCCTTCCCTGAATGAGAATGTCGATGTTAGAACTTGTAGAAGAGTGGTTTACTTTTAAGTGAATTTTGTATTCCACTGGGTCCAGAGTGGCTGAAGTGAGATTTGATGGCTGAGTATCTTAGCCACCTAGCACCATAGTCATCATCATCCAAGCCTTATCCAACTATATGGGATTGGCTACATGAATCCTGTTTTGTTATTCTGTTCTGTTTAATGTGATATCCATTGTTAAATTATTGGTGCTTAAATCATTTCGTACTACTTCTACCCATGTCCTTTTTGGTCTACCCCTATCCTTTCCAGTTCAACTTGCAACAAATCACTTTATGGGTTCTGTTGATGGTACGTGACCAATCTTAGTCTACTTCTCATTTCATCATCTATTGGAGCTACTTCTAGGTTCTCTGAATGACTCCATTTCTAACTATCCTAGTCTACCAAGTGCCATGGTCTCTGAGATATAATTTGTGGCATCATGTACCAATCCTCTTGTTATACACTCATCGACACAATTTAAATTTCAAGATCAATCACAGATGCAGGTCAATTTTGAGAAAGGCTACATATATGTGGTCTAAATCCCAATATCTTTCTTCAAGATATTAATTGAAATTAACTGCTTCATTTGTTTTGTCAGTCTTTTGTTTCTTCCTTTCCATCATATTCTGATTTTTCATTAAATATAAAAAAAATATGATTCTACATTTTCTGAACTACAACAGTCTTCATCTTCCGTGGTCTTTGAGCAAAAAGAAAAGTCTGAGGCTGGGTTAATCAACTTTATAGTGGAAGAGCTCAGAAGTTGGATGGTAATGTCTGATGATGAAGATGTTTCTGATGCTTTTTCGAGGATGGACTTTTTTGGGGGTGGGGTTCCTAATATTGGTTATACCTGTACAGCTCATTGTACAGGATCTTATACTTTTGATACTATTAAAATTACTTTACCTTTTCAAAAAAAAGTCAATATCTTCCATGACTTGATTGTGAAAACAATGGGCCGCATATCTTGGATTCCCTAACCCAAACATTCACTTGATGGAGATGGTTTGGATTCATTGATGTTTATGCCTAGACTAGTGATCTGTGGTCTTATCATTTTAATTGGTATTATTACTATATTGAAAAATAAAAATGGTATACAAGATGTAGGCAGAAAAGGAGGTCAGCTAATGCTTTGGTTGATTGTTTAGCTAAACAAGCGGTGAATAGGGATGTTCTGTATTGGGCTCAATTGTAAGATGCAAAGTGAAATTTTGTAGGGGAGGCTGCACCTCGCACCTCTCCAAGGAATGCTTGTAATGCTTTAAATTTTGGGTTTCAATAAAAATATTAATTTATCAAAAAAATTACCAGCCTAAAAACATGAACACTATACCATGGTAATACCCTACAGAACCAGCCTCACACATCACAGTAAAATAGCCCCGACTGAAATTCTCTCCAATCCAGCAACTTGGATCATCAAACTCTTCAAAACTCCTGCAAACCAATCAGATAATAAAACCATGAACGACATACTACTGCATGCAAGATTTGCCCCTTATATTTTTTTTAAGGTAATGTATATTGTATTATTATCAAAGTAAGTGGTCCTCTGTACAATGAAGTGCTGTACATGTATATTCTATTTAGGGACCTCTATAAAAGGCCATCCTCAAATTAGAAGCAGAAAATGTATCATCTTTAAATACATTGTATATAGACAACCAATTTTTAAGTTCCTCTACCACCAAATTAATCACCCCTGCTTCAGAGATTGATTTCTGTTAAAAAATTCTGTTGTTCCTTTCATACCAAATGGACCACATTACCACAGCTGGAATGGTTGACCTGCAAACTTTTCCTTTCTTGGTCATTACTTATGACCTTCCATTCTTCTAAAAGTGCTTTGACTGAGTTTGGGAAGCACCATTTTAGGTTAATTATCTTGATAAAGTGCTTCCAAAGAAGCACTAAACTTGCGTACAAAAACAGATGGTTAGATGTCTCTTCCTCACTGTAGCATAGTACAGATCAGATCTGGTACATAGAAGCCCCTCTTAAACAACATTTCTTTGGTCAGGAATTTTTCCAAGGTTGCTATCCATGTGAAGAACTTTAGTTTTGATGGAGCAGTAGCTCCCCATATTGCTTTGCTTGGAAAGTGTTCCCTTGGTTCACCAACTAGATCCTTATGAAAAGACGTAACTGAAAAGTCCTCTTTGTCCATTTCCAGCACCTTAGATCTTGAGATTGCAGATTCAGGTGCTGATTCTGGAATTATGAAAGGACTTCAATCACCATCTTGAGCTCCCAGTCGTTAAAGTTCTTTCTAAGAGAGCTTTTCAGTTAGCCTGGTGACAATTAGCTTGGTGACAAGCATCTATAAGATTCTGGCAAAAGTGCTCTTTAGGAGGATCAAGGTAGTTCTCCCCTCTCTCGTTAGCCAAGCAAAAGGAGCCTTTATACAGGATAGACAAATTAAAGATTAGATCCTTATTGCAAACGAGAGTGTGGAAGAGATAAGGAGATCGGGCAGGAAAGTATTTGTTTGCAAACTGGACTTGGAGAAAGCCTATGACTTAGTGGATTGGAATTTCCTGCTGGAGATGTCAAGAAGACGTGGATTTGGGGATAAATGGTGTAATTGGATAAGAGTGTGATCTTGAGAGCTGTACTTGAAGTAGAAGAGAGGAGAAGAACACCACTGATATGCTGTGAATGTCAAACTATCCTAGCTAGTCGACCATGCTATTATTCATATTTGAATGTAGTACAAGATACAAGTAATTACTGGAATGCCCCTGATTAGTGATGTGACACTCAGTTAACTTAAAACATTAAACAGGCTTAGGCCCATTAACACAGGCCTAGTTACAGGATAAGTTGAATTTAAGTATGGGCTAATAAGAACTCTTATCAGCTGAACACTCATACAAATAAATATCATTCAAACAGTCTAACACTCCCCCTCAAGCTAAGCATAGATATCAATCATGTTTAGCTTGCCAAGTATGTCCTTGAATTTTGTTGTTGCCAGCCCTTTAGTCAATATATCTGCAATTTGCATCTCTGATGGAGTATAAGGCACACAGAGTTCTCCTGAAACAATTCTCTCTCTGAMAAAGTGTCGATCAATTTCAATATGTTTTGTCCTGTCATGCTRCACGGGATTGTTGGCAATGTTGATAGCAGCTTTATTATCACAATACAACCTGAGAGGACCCTCAGCCTTAATACCAAGCTCATTAAGAAGAGTTC